TTTATTTCATTTAGCATAATGACCTCAAAGTCCAAAGTCGGGTTTCTCAGGAATCTTCAGTACGAAGATTCATATCAGAGGACGTTTATTGTAGGAATTGGCTCACAAGGTTATGGAGGCCAAGAAGTCCCACAATCTGCCATCTACAAGGTAGAGAACCAGGAAAGCTGGTGGCATAATTCAGTCCAAGTCTGAAGGTCTGAGAACCAGAGGGCCACTGGAGTCTGTGGGCCCAAGAGCCAAGATCTCCGATGTCTGAGGGCAGGGAATGATGCACATCTCAGCTCAAGAAGAAAGACCATATTGGCCCTTCCTCTACCTTTCTGTTCTGATTGGGCCCTCAATGGGATGGATGATGCTTGCCCACATTAACAAGGTTCTTACCCAGTCTACTGAAGCAAATTCTCATCTCTTCCAGAAACACTTTCACAGACACATCCAGAAATAATGTTTTACCAACTATATGAACATCCCTTAGTCCAGCCAAGTTGATGTAGAATTAACTATCACATTTATCCATGTTGCAAATGGTAGGATTTCCTTTTCTTTAAGGCTGCATAACATTTCATTTTATGTATATACCACATCTTCTATATCCATTCATCGAGCAATAGGTATTTAGGTTATTTCCATATGTTGGCTATTGTGAATCTCAGCGTCTGATTTAGCTACTCAAGCCCACCATGCTTCTGGGTGACAAAGGTCCTGAGGGGCTGGATCTTGGACCAGAATACTCCTGCCAATACTTGTGGACAAAGGGGGAAGATAGAATTTGGTGTCCAAGTCCTCTGGATAGGTCCAAGGGTGACAAAGGAGACATTGTGTTAACACCTGAACACTCAAAGGGATTTCGGCCATTACCTAGTTGAAGCCTTCTTTTCACAGATGAGAAGGCTGAGGCTCGGGGGCTTAGGGGCTCCCCCAGATCTTCAGGTTTCACTGGCATGCCCTTGCCCAATCTTGGCTGGCCAGGTCTCTAGCATCGAGCCCCATCTGGGGCAATCATACTACTGCCCTTGTTCCTCTCAGTGTGTCTTTAAACTGTGCTCTCTCTCTCTTTGTGAAGAAGGATGGCAAAGTCTTGGGATCAAATGTGGACTCTGACAGTTACTGGCTGAGTGACCTTGAGCATCACTTCACTTCTCTGAGACTGAACCTCCCTGCTCTAAGAATGAGGATCTATCTTTGTAATAGGGTGGTATAGACTATTTGATATAATGTTTGGGCATCAGAAAGAAGGTAGAAGACCTGGTCTCCAGATTTGCTAGCTGTATGACCCTGAGGAAAGTTGTAGCTTCCTAAACTTCAGCATACCGGTCTGTAAAATGGGGATAATAATCCCTCTAAAAAACAATGTTGTAATGATGATTTCATTCATCCATTCATTGAATAAGACTGTATTAAACTATAAACTATTATGTGCCAGGCTCTGTTCTAGATGCTAGGAAAGCAGTGGTGAATAAGACCTATAGAACCTGTCGTCATGGAATTTAAAATCTATTTGGGGAGATAGTTAATAAGCAAAAACAACAACAACAACAACAACAAAAAGCATATATAATCTAATATACAGAAGTGAAAAGGGCTGCAAAAAAAACCAAGAGAGATGGAGCAAGAGAGATTGATTATGGGAAAGCATTTAGTACACGACAGAACACCAAATAATTGCCTTGCACTTAGTAGGTGCTCAACAAATGCTATTTTTCTTCTCTTCGTGTCTACGTTTCCCATTTCCACCTTCCCTAGCGATCCCATGCCCACTGTCATGCTCAGGATGCTCACAACTCCCTTTTGAGAAGAGTCCTCGCTGCTTCCCTTGGGCGTCCGCCCAGCCATGCTGTGTGTGTCCTCACACCCCATGTGTTGCAGACCCAGGGCCCGGCACTGAGCCCTCCGTGGTGGTGGGGCATCAGCAACAGTGAGAAGTTTGGTGGACAGCAAAGGGAAGGCACAGAAACAGATGCGCACGATACACCCGGGAGGAGGCCTTCCCCTCGGTGCCAGGACATCTGCTCTCTGCCTGGGCCTCACCCTTTCCAGACTGGGAGCTGCCCCTAGATGAAGCTTTCAGTTTAGAAATTAGGAGGTCCTCTGAATATACCACACTGATGATCAAATGTCAAATTTATTTATAATAATGAAGCTTAACATCATTAATTTATTTTATCCACAAAAGAATGTAAAAAGTAATTCCCAAATATAGAACAAAGACAAGGAAAAAGAGAAAAAAAAATTAAATATGTTTTTCATTGATTTTTTAGCGAGCAAGAGATAGAAACATCCATGTGAGAGAGAAACATCGATCGGCTGCCTCCTGCATGCCCCTCACTGGGGATTGAGCCCAAAACCCGGGCATGTGCCCTGACCAGAAATTGAACCAGGTCCTCTCAGTCCATGGGACGACGCTCAATCCACTGAGTCAAAGCAGTCAGGCGAAAAAAATTTTTAAATAAAAAAAACAAGGAGAGAAATGTAAAAAAAAATCATTTAAAAATTTGTAAATATGTACTCTCTCACTTAATTATGAATAACTCCGGTGCGAGTTGCTTGTCTAGCCTGAGTTCACGTTCAGGAAGGTCCTTCATTCATTCTGCTTGGGTTTCAGAGAGACTGCTTCCTTTTCCTGGGAGAGAAGAGTCTACAACAATCTTCCTTGTATGGCAAAGCCTCCCTTTCGCTCTTTTGTTCCTTCTCAAGCCCTGTCTCTGGGGCAATGAACCTCTGAGCAAGGCGGGGTGCGGGCCCTGGAGGCCGCAGAGAGGGGGAGAGAGGCCCCACCCTCAGGAAGTTCCCAGGGAGGCCTCCTTACAGGTCCAGCACAGCCTTTTACCCCCAGTATGAGCCAGGCCTCAGTTTCCCCATTTGTAAAATGAGAGGATTGACCAGGATCAGCATTCACTCGAATGTTATCCAGGGCCCATAGAATCTCGGGACGATGGTACTCGAGACCGTACGGACACCCCTGGGAGCATCCTGGGAAGGCCTGCGGGTGGAAGGTCAGTCACACTGCATGGCGCCCAGCCCAGGCCGCCCATTCTGGCGGGGCGCAGAGCCCTTCACTGCCAGGTGCCTGCGGCAGCTTTCTGGGAAAAGCCAGCTGTGGGTTTCTAACGACGTTTCCCAGTCAGAGAGGCCTGGGGTACGAGAACACCACCCTGCGAATGTGAGGGTCTGAGCACTCCCTCCGGCCTGTGGTTTGCGGTCACGCCGCCTCCGCGACGGCTCCAGCGGCAGCGGGTCCGGCTTCTTCGCAGGCTGGTGGTTAAGTGGGCAGCCCCGGCGGGTGCACAGCGACTGCAGGCCCAGCCACAGCCGTGAGCAAGCCGGCATGGCACTGCCCCGGCCCCAGACAGGCTGCCTCACTCCGCTCTTTCTCACACCGTCTCCGGTTTTCTGAGACTCCCTGGGGCAAGTGAGACTCACCCTGAAGCTCTGACTATACACAGGAGGGGCAGGTCTGCCTTGCCTAGCGGGGGCCCCTGTCAGAGTCACCGGCAGGGACATCTCCCCTGGCTTCTAGAAATAGAAGAGGCGGCAGGACTGTCAGAGCCGGCAGAGCTAGTCTTCGGTTCTTTTCCCTTTCTTTCTGGTCCCTCTCCAGGCTACAGGTGCCTTCTTCTAGAAGGAGGTGACGAGTTAGCCACCCTTGGTGAAGGGAGAAAGGACAATGCACACCCCCCACCCTGTGGCTGAGACAGTGGTAGTGAAGGTCGAGGGAGATGGTGACCTCAGCCTCGGCATGTGCAGTGTCAGGGCCTGGGAGCCCAGCTGGCATAGAGCAGGAGACAGCAGGAAGTCTGGCTGGAGTGTAGACTGAGTCATCTCGGGACGGCGGAGTCCAGGGTAGTCACCCTGTGATTGATGTGCACCTTGAGGGAGGGCAACGTCACTGATGTGTCTGGAAAGTGAGTCAAGGACCCACAGAATAGAGGTCGCTGCATTCCTGGGGATGGTTTCCTCTATTGCCTTGTGCTGATATGTTTCTCCCCTGAGTGACCTCAAAGGAATGACAGCTTTGCAATGGATGTTTCTTTAGCAAAATGAGCAAGTGTGCATCAGCATTCCAGAGGGTGGAACCTGTGGGCTTCCAAAGGCTGCGGACTCGGCTTCCCTGCTGTCCTCCCACCCTCCCTTCCCCTTTGCCCTTCTCCCTGCTTCCTTCCCTCCCTCCCTCCCTCCCTCCTTCCCTCCCTCCCTCTCTCCCTTCTTTTTGTCATGTCTTATATTCATCTTTCAAATACTTATCAAACAGCCACTGTATGCCAGGCGGTGTGGCCTGGGGACACAGTGATGAAGGAGACACAGATGGTCCCTGCTCTTGTACATCCTGTAGTCCAGGGCAGGAAAAGGCTGCTAAATAAACCTAGTCCTGCGGGCTCTGAATGCATCTACCAGAGGTCTTGGCAGGACTGGAGGGCCAGGGAGGACTTCCTTGAGGATAGTACACGTAGGCTGAGACAGAAAGAATGGGAAGTTCACCAGGGAAGACTATTCCAAGCAGAGGGCACAGAGGAAGCAGAGAGTTTGATGACTTTGAGAAACAGCATGGTCAGTGTGGGCTGAGAGGGAGGTGAAGGGGGAGGGGCAGCATTCAGGGCAGGCAGGGCCTGGGAGGCCACTCCAAGGAACCCTAGCTTTACCCCAAGAACAGTTCTTAGTCAGGGGAGTAGGGAGGACGGGGGCCCTGGGGCCCTGCAGGGGAGTTGTGAGAGTCTGCATGTTGAGTGTTCTGATCCTCCATCCTCAGTCACACCAGCATGAGGGTGAGTGCCCATGAGTCAGCGAGAAGCTCAGGACCAGGTGTCCTGCTCTAGGAGGCTGGCTTCCAGGTGTCATCCTGCCCAGACCCACTGCAGGTGACTGTGGCAGGTGCTTCAGTTTCCTTTACTGTAAAATGGGTCGATTAAGCCTTCAATCAGTGTGTGTGAGTTTCTAAAGACAAACAATAGCAGTGGCTAGAGGGGAACCTTGTGGTCTGTTTAAAAAATTTTTTCCAACCAGTAAAATTGAGTTTATTCAGGAATAGCAGATAAATTGCAATTCAGAACAAGCAAGCTATGGCGAACCACCGGCAAGTCCAGAGAATGAGAGAGGAACATTCTTTTATAGAGGAAAAGAGGAAACTGGGAGGGGCTGTTTCCGAACAAGAGTTAATTGGAGAAGAGCAAGAGTACAGAGTTATGGTAGCTTCTCGCTGATTGGGGTGTTGCAGCTTCTCACTGGTTGGGTTGTTACTGGGCAAAGGGAAAGTCCTTCTTCTTGCTGGGGTATGTAAAGTAAGTTGCAGTAAGTAGTACCTGTGTGAGAACTGTCTCTTCATTGCTTCCTGACTCCATTTTGGATTAATTTCACACCACCTGTGCTCTGTTAATGGACAGACTCAGATGGAGGCTGCTGACTGGCCCCATCCAGGCCAGCAAACCCTGGGGTCATAGATACATAGCAGCCTCTTCATCGTGAGCTAGCACTTTACTCAAGGAATTGAAATAATCCCAAGGAAGTAATCAAGTAGTTCACAGATACTTTAATATAATGGAAGGAGTATAGGCTTTGAAGTAAAAAAGACTTGGACTTGCATTCTGGATCTGCCACTAGCTGTGTGGCTTTGGGCAAGTCACTTAACCTCTCTGAGCCTCATGTCATCATTTGTAACTAGGAGACAATTGCAATAAGATACCCTTATCCAGTTGTTTCCAGGATTACAGACGGTGTTTGTAAGATGTTTACCATAGTGGAGGGTGAGAGTAGCCCTTCAGTATTTGGTAGAGGCAGGAAAATATTCAAGCCATCTGAGAGAGGTAGCTTTTTGCTTGCACTCTGAGAAAGGAGAAGCCCCAGGTGCCATCAGTGCCCTGGACTAGTCCTTTATCAGTCAGCCACCACTGCTAGGAAGTCTTGCCTTGTACCTCTCTGCATGCTGAGCCCATCTCCCTCGATTTGCTCTAAGTGAGCCTGGCAGCCTCTGGACACTATCACTAGAGAAAGGTGCCTAGACCCCTGGCCACCTACAGGACCTCTCCCCCCATTTCCACCAAAGAGCTCACAGGAGACAAGGGACAGTGGTCCTGCTGAACGAGCAGGTGAGTTGCCTGGATTCAATCATGTCAGGTACAGGTGCAGACATCCCCTTCTCCCATCACTGTCTTGGGCCATACACGTGGACCTATTGCTCCAGGAAGGAGAGGACCCTGAGGTGAGCAAGATGAAGGATTTCTAGGGCTATGAACACACACACACACACACACACACGAACATGGACACACATAAGAACACATGATTATGTAACACACACAAACCCAGAGACCCCCAGACACTTGAGTACATGATAATGTTATTTAACTTTTCCATACCTCGGGTCTCCCATCTGTGAACCTGGATGAGAATACAGTGGAAATGTTGTTAGGATTACACATAAGGTATGGGGAGCACTGCCTGGCCCAGCAGGCACTCGGTTTTTCTTAGCTCTGATGTATCATGCTGGATACCCTCAGAGGACACAGACATGGGAACACAGTAGCCCAGACCAGCAGGATCAGATCACAGGCACACACACTCCGGGTCTGACCACAGACACAATGTGCAGGTGCCCAGCCAAGAGACGCCCCACTAGTGGCAGTGTGGTAGGGTCACACGGTTTGGCTGTGGCCGAGTTGGGCCTGGTCTGTTTCAGCTGGACTGCAGCAAAGAAAATGAAATTGCTCTGCAAATTTAACTGAATGGAGCTATGAGATGGAGCATGGAGGGAGCCCAGGGAGAGCGGGAGGATGTGAGGAGTCAGAAAGCTGGGTGGAGAGAGGTCAAAACCTCTTTTTAAGGGGTCAGTCTCTTTTAAGGTAATGATGGCTGGGCCTGTAGCATAAGCTCCCCCTCCCTGTAGCATAAGCCCCCCCCCCCCCCCCAGGTATATTGCCAGCAGCACTTGACCTGACAGGTGTTTGGAGATGAACAAAGAAAGGGGGATGTGTTATCTGAGTTTGGCTATACTCAGAGACAAAAGACAGGAGATGTGGAATTCAGTGGGAGCAGGAAGTGAGAGCAAGCTGACCCAGAAAGGGAAGAGGCCCCAGGCCACTTGAGGATATCACATTACAATGGCTGGAGGGTGTGGGACTATCCAGGTGGCTAACTTCGGGGTTCTAAACGGAGCAGAAATAGGAGCAGGTATGTCTGATTCTCTCTAAAACAATATCCCCGCCTGCTGTGGGAGGCTGGAGGGAGGGTGTGGGAACAGTGTGGGTTTAGGAAGAGAAGGATCTGTGCAAAGTGTGTGAGGGGCAGAGGAAAAGCCGCACCGCTGTCAACAGGGCAGGCAATGTCCTGAGGGAGGGCCTCGGGAACTTTCTCTGCAGTTTACCAGGAGATTTGCTGTGATCCACACCGATTACATTGAAGAGGAGTCTGTGAGCAGCCCTCGGATAATTAGTCCCTATCACCTTTCTTTCTAGGATGAAGCCACCCCACAGCTCTATGATTAACGCACACCGACTCTGCATGTCAGGTGGGATTAAAGGGGGGGATCAAGCGCGTTTGAAGAAAAGGTGGCCATCTGGACGGTGCAGGTGCAAGGTGGCGGCGCTGAAGATACCAGATGGTTTGGGTCTTTGAAGACAAATTAGGGAAACACAGTAGATGACAGATGGGCAGATGTTGGGCTATTGTGAAAGGGATTTGCCCAGGTGAAATGTTTTTTTTTTAAATGTATTTAAATTTGGGCTGAGCAAAAGGATTTCATCACTATTTATTACCGCCTTTTAAACTTTGCCCACAAATACCATAGGAATCTCTTTATGGCAGATTAGTTTGGGAAATAACTCAGGCAATAAAGAGAAGAGAGAGGACAGGCCAGGCAGACCCACCATCCCTTATCTGCAATTCCAGATAAGGCAAAACAGCTCTGAAAACTGCATGCTTTTAAAAAACGTACTTGGCAGCACGACAGGACCTGAACTGACCTGAAGCCGTTTGTCACCTCTGTCCCATGGAGTGTGTACACTGGAGCAGACACATTGATACATCTGACTGTTCAGTACTGCACCAGACCCCACTGGGATTTTACATAGCACAGGTAATAGGCACTCTATTGACTTTACAAAATCCAAAACCACCTGAATCCTGAAACACATCTGGCCCCCATGGTTTGTGGACAGGCCCACCCACCTCCAGGGACAGCTGAGAATGAATGCTTGGCAGGCTGCCTGGGGAGGGCGCCTCAGCATGGGGTGTTTAGGTGTAAGAGAGTAGGAGAGGTTCCAAGGAAGGGCTGCAGCTCTTTGTATGGGCACACTTGGAGGGTGAAGGCATGCTTGGGGAGGGGGCTGTGGAGGTACACTTATACTTGGGGAGGGGGTGTGGAGGCACATTTGGGCAGTGGGGAGCAGTACTAAACTCTCAGACTCCTTCCACCAGACTGGAGGTGCGAAATTAACAAAGAAGAAGAGAAACCCTTAGGAAAGCCATCCTCCTGGAAAAAATGATAATTCACTTTAAAACTGTGCTAATAATTAAAATATTTTTGATGGGAATTTAAAAAAACGATCCATTCTATAAGGTTCTCCTGCAAAGCCACTCCCATACTTTTTAAAACACATTCAGGAATCTGAGATGTGATTTCACTGTCCCTTGACTTGCCTTTCTTGTCTCCGTCAAGGGGGTCCCTGGTCTCGTAGCCCCTCAGTGTCCCCTCCTCCGGGGGCTAGTGAAGAGGAAGGCTGAGGTGGGAGGGCCAGGGCCAGGAGAACCCACACAAATAGCTTCCACCTTCCCCGTTTTTCTCGTGGAGGAGCTCCTGAGCACCCCCAAACAACGGCATAGCAGCACAGTCCCAGAAGCAGTGGTGTCACCAGGAGCACAGGGTCAGGTGAGAGGGGTGGCTGCCAGGGAGGGGCAAAGTCTCATCAGGCCCAGAATTTTAGAGTAGCCTGATGAGAAAGGCTAAGTAAGTCAAATAACACACACCCACAGAGTTTCTGTAATGAAGGAGGAAACATTTCTTGGACAGTGTTTGAAAATACAGCTTAATTCAAACAGAAGTATCTTGGGTGGGGCTTAGCAGAGAGCCTTGACTGATTTGCATTTTTCTATTTTTTTTTTGTTCAGGTAGAGTGGGAGGGGGAGAGAGGAAGAGAGAGAGAAACATCGATGTGAAAGGGACACATCTAGTGGCTGCCACCCACACGACCAACCAGGGCCGGGGACAAACTACAACCGAAGTACATGCCCTTAGCGGGAACCGAACCCCGGTCTCTCGGGACCGCAGGCCGACGCTCTAACCGCTGAGCCAAACCGGCCAGGGCCTGATTTGCATTTTTAACAATGGTTTTGCCATAGCTACAGAGGTAGATGTTTTAAAGGGTACATGGAATATTCAAGTGAATGCAATAAACCCTGATTTTATGAAGTAAAACATGAAAAGTCTCCTGTGCAAGTTTTGTATTATTTTAATTTTATTTTTTTAATTGTTTTCTTTATTGTTTAGAGAGAGAAGAAGGGAGAGGGAGAGAGAGATGGAAACATCGATGAGAGAGAACATCGATTGGCTGCCTCCTGCAAGCCCCCTTTTGGGGATTTAGCCTACAACTTGGGCATTTGTCCTGACTGGGAATCGAACTGGTGACCTCTGAGCCACATCAGCTGGGCAGTTTTGTATTATTTAAAAAATTCCTATTGTCTAGTAAAAGTATTTCCACTATACAACTGGAACTGTTAGAAAAAAACATGATGAATTTTTTTTTTTTATCCTCACCCGAGAACACTTTTCCATTTTTTGTTCAGATAGAGTGGGAGGGAGAGAGAGGAAGAGAGAGAGAGAAACATCGATGTGAAAGGGACACATCGAGTGGCTGCCACCCGCACAACCCAACCAGGGCCGGGGACAAACTGCAACCGAGGTACGCGCCCTTAGCGGGAACCGAATCTGGGTCTCTCTGGACCGCAGGCTGATGCTCTAACCGCTGAACTAAACTGGCCAGGGCCATGATGAATGTTTTATATGCAGAATGCCTGAGACATTATTATATCTTATCTCATTCATTTGTTGATGGACATTTAGGTTGTTTATAATATTTGTCTATTATGAATAAAGTCATTATAGACTTTTGAGTACAAGTCTTTGTGTGAACATAGGTTTTTACTATTGGAGATTTCTTTCGAGATATTTTTGCTTTTGCTTTCTAATTTAATTTTGAGTGGGCAGAAAACATTGACTTCAATATGTTTATATTTATTGCGACTTGTTTTATGGCCCAGAATATGGTCCTTCACGATGAATGTTCCATGTGTACTTGAAAAGAATGTGTTCTGCTGTTTATGGTGCAGTGTTCTATAAATGTCAGTCAGGTCAAGGTGGTTGATTATTGTTCAGATCTCTTACATACAAGCTGATTTCTGCCTATTCATTCTATAAATTGAGAGGTATATTAAAATACCCAACTATGAATGCAGATAAAGTCTATTTCTCTTTTCAATTCTGTTAGTTTTTCTATATTATTATTTTTTTAAATTTTTGAATCATTATTGAGAGTACTACAGATGTCCCACCCTTTTACCTCCCCATTGCCCCCCTCTTTGTTAGGTACATGAATAACTAGGATTGCTATGTCCTCTTGGTGAATGGACCCTTTTATCATTTGAAATGTCCATCTTTATTTTTGGAAATACCTTTAAAATAAAGTCTACTTCATCTAATGTTAATATAACTCTTTTCGCTTTCTTATAATTAGAGTTTGCTTGGTCTATCTTTTCCTATAAAAGGCTTTTGTTACCTTTACCTTTTCTGTGTAATTATGATTAGAGTGGGGTTTTTATAGATAGTTGGGCCTGCTCATTTTAATCCAATTATTTCGTTTTCGCTCCCCTTTCAGTTTTTAGCTGTATGTCTTTGTTTTATTTTTTAATACTTATAATATGATGTACGACGTATATCTTTATGTAATCACAGTCTACATTTAAATAATATTATGCCACTTCAGGTATAATATAGAACTTCACAATATACTTTAAAAAAAAATCCTTGCCTGAGGATATGTTTAGAGAAAGAAAGAGAGAGAGACATCAATGTGTGTGTGTGTGTGTGTGTGTGTGTGTGTGTATGTGAGAGAGAGAGAGAGAGAGAGAGAGAGAAACATCAATGTGAGAGAGAGAACATCAACTGGTTGCCTTCCATACACCCCCAGACTGGGAATTGAAACCCGCAGCCTAGGTATGCACCCTGACTGGGAATCAAATCTGAAAACTTCTGGTGTCTGGGATGACACTCAAGTCAACTGAATCACCTAGGCAGGGCCACAATAGTCTTTAAGGCCCTCATCCTTTGTACTATTGTTATACATTTTATTCCATTATAAATCCCACAATATGTATATATTTTTTCCTTAAACAGTCGATTGTTTTTAAAATGAACTTTAAAATGAGAAAAGAAATCTTTCATATATTTACCCCCTTTTTTGCTATTTCTGGCATGTTTCATTCTTTTGTGTAGGTCCAAGATTCCATCAGAATCGTTTTTCTTCAAACTGAAAAAATTCTAGTTTTATTTATTTAAAGTTTCTATTCATATTTATCAAAACTCTCAATACTGTTTTGTAGAATAGATCGGTTGACAATGAACCCTCTCAGCTTCTGTTTGTTTAGAAATGCCCTCACTTTCAGCTTTGAAGGATATTTTCACTTCTTACAGAGTTTTAGGTTGCTTTCTTTTTTCTTTTAGCTGTCTGCAGATTCCATTCCATTATCTCTGAGCTTGCAACTTTTTCCTGAGGACAAATTTTCATCCCCCCCCCCCTTTATGTTGAGTATCTTTTATTACCTTTAAGATTTTTTCCGTATCCTTGGTTCTCAGCAGTGTGGCTTCGTGTGGTTTTATTTGTAGACACCCTCTGTGCCGCTATCTGGAAAGGAGGCTCCTGGCAGAAAGCCAGGGCCGCGTTGGGCTCATTTCCTGTCCTACCTCCTGGATTGCAGCACTGCTTCTTGTCCAGTATTCGGAAATGGCTGTTTCATATGTTTGTCCAGTTTCTCCTTTTTTATAGTGAGAAGAAGTCTGGCCTCAGTGACTCTACCATGACCAGAAAAGAAAGTTGACTTTGAAAAAAGATCACATTCACATCAGTGGTGACTAAGCATTTTCCATAGCGTCATGTACAAAGGGACTTTGAGACCCAGAAAGGACTTTGGAGGGTCTTCGGTGGGATCTGACCGTGGCAGCCGGGGGCCCAGGGTGCCCAGGAGGGATCACAGCAGAAAAGCTGGCTGTTCAGCTTAGAACAGTTGTCATTTCTGGTGTGCAGGCTGGGAATAGGATGGGAAAAGGATTTAAGTATATTCTAAACATTATTTGCTTCTTTCTGAAGCAGCGAACTCGATACAAGATGGATCAGGGCCTTTTTTGCTAAGAACTGGATGTCAACCTTGGCTTTTACAAATCCTCATGCTGAGGCTATACTGAAGGAAAAAATTCAGTCTCTGGGGTGGGCCCAGGCATCCATAGTTTTTAGAGCTGCTTAGGTAGTTCCAGTGTGTCACCAAGGTGGAGACCACTGCTCTGAGGTGTCCCGCAGCCAGCACGGGGCTATGGACCTTTCCCCGTGGGGAGCTGCGGCAGGTGCTCTCGCTCTACCCGCTAGCAGGTGTGTATCTCACTTACTCACCGCCCTCTTTACTTTCCTGAGCAGCTTCTCACCTTGCCCTGGCTCGGCCCAGGAGGCCCAGGTGATGAGACAGTGGGGAAGGCCAGGCAGGATGTGTTGCAACGCGGAGGAGGGGAGTGTGGACCCAGAGAGGGCAGGGAGGTGGAGGCAGACAGGCTGCAGAGGTGGAGAGGGTTCCCCATCGCCCCATCCCTGCCTCCTGCTCGCACCTTCCTTCCCCTTCTCCAGGCCCAAAGGAGTCTGGAGCTAGCTAGCTTGGTAGGCGAGCGTCCCAGGTCCTCTGCCCACGCTGCCTGGCCGCAGTCCTTAAGTGCGATAAAAGGCTCTGGAAGTCCCTTCCTATGTACTGAGGAAGCGTGGGCTTGTCTCCAGGGATCAGAGTCCACAGACTTTCTGTGAGGGAATGTGCCGGGGCCAGCGCTCTTGCCCTGCCTGTCCCGACTCTGAGTGACCGGGTCGGTTGCTCCTTCTTAAGCACCTCAAGTTTCCCACCTGTAAAGTTAGGGGACCAAGGTGCATGGTTTCCTGGTCCTCCATCTCTGACGATTTGGACATGTGCAAGCACCCTTGCGTCCCTTTGGGACGGCTCCAAGACCCGGCTCTGAGGACCCGTCTCCTCAGTGGTGTGGACATCTGTGGAGTGTTGGCTCTGACGTCCCCTCCAGCGCATGCCAACTCCGAGGGACAGGCTGGAAATCTTTGGCCGCTGAGGATGGCAGCTGGACTGTTGGATGTGCATCAGAGCATGTGGTGGAACTGGACGTTCACATGGACTTGCTTCTCTTTTCCTTTAAAATTTAGAAAAATGACTGCTTTGTAAGGGTCACGTTGGGGGCAGACTAAGTGTCTATTTTGAAAGAGACCACTCAGCACTCCCACTGGTGGTACAAGAAGGGAAAGACCTGCTCTCTCTGGGCTGAGCGTGTGCCACGGAGATTCCTGGGGACTGGGTAGGTTGACAGTGGGCAACCAGATAGAGGATGCCATAAAAGACCCTTGTCCTTGGAAGATGTCTGGGAGCTGAGAGAAGCCAGCGTAACAAGGGACTCTGCAGAAGGCTGAGCCAGGGTTCTCCCGGGAGATGCTTGGAGCAGTGTGCAGAGGAATGTCAGTGCCTGGAGTACGTAAGGGGCCAGTGGGACAGCCGGTCTCCAGCTGGGCCTCACAGTGGTGCTCTGGCAGGGTGCAGCCCAGCCACCAACAGACACCCTCACAAGGACACTGGGCAGAAGAGGCAGCAGTGCTGGGGCTGAGGATGAGCGAGAAGCATGTCTGAAACCTGGCGCCAGAGACCCATGGGATGGCACCTGGGAACCCTCTAGAAGCATTTGACGAGTACGACCTTCAGAGAGCCCAGAGCACAAGGCCTGGGGTAGAATGAAAAGTGGTACTTCCTTTACAACGAGGGGCTGCGGACACCTAGGCTGTGAGGGCTGCTCCTCGGCCCCTACCATCAGCACAGAGATGCCGCACAGAACGGGAAGAGCTGACTGTCAGAGCAGAATGTGAAAAATGCTCACCGTCACTCATCATCAGAGAGATGCAAATTAAAATGCCTATGAGGTGTCACCTCACACCTGTCAGAATGGCCCCCATCAACAAATCATCAAACAAGTGCTGGTAAGAATGTGGAGAAAAGGGGACTCTAGTACACTGCTGGTGGGAATGCAGACTGGTGCAGCCACTATGGAAAACAATATGGTGTTTCCTCAAAAAATTAAAAATGGCACTGCCATTTGACCCAGTGATCCCACTTCTAGGAATATACCCTAAGAAGCCTGAAACACCAATCAGGAAGAATATATGCAGAAGAATATATGCACCCCTATGTTCATAGCAGCACTACTTACAATTGCTAAGATCTGGGTATCAGTAGATGAGTGGACAAAAAAGCTGTGGTATATACACAATGGAGTACTATGCAGCTGTAAGAAAGAAAGACCTCTTATCCTTTGAGACGACATGGAGGGACCTGGCGCATTATGCTAAGTGAGATAAGCCAGTCAGAGAAAGACAAACACCACATGATCTCACTTATTTGTAGAATATAATGAACAAAACAAGCTGATGAACAAAACAGACCCAGAGTCATAGAATTATGTCTGCTTCAGACTGACAAACCTCAGAGGAGGGGGCCGGGTGGGGGGAGGGAAGAGATAAACCAAAGAACTTATGTGCATGTATGCATAACCATGGACATAGACAACAATGCTTGGGGAGGGGGATTGGAAGGAGGGTGTCAATGGGGGAAAAAGGAGAAACATCTGCAACAAAAATAAATAAATTAAAAAATATATTATTTAAAAAAAAAAAAAAGCCCTGTGTGGCTTTCCACTAGTGGCAAAGAGGGTGGGGGAAACGGTCTGAGGGTAGAGTGGACCAACCATGGCCTGCCCAGAACGCTGGCCCATAACAGCATGATTCGAGCTGAAGGTGAATGAGATGAGGTGTGGGCCCCTCGGTTTCTGCACTTTCCTAGGTCTCTCCTGTTCTACAGAGGCTAGGGAGCCTGGGATCCAGGCCTGGTGCTCACACGCCTCCTTAGGCATTGTTTGCCGCCCACCTCCAAGACCTGGGGGGCTTTCGGCAGGTGGAGTGCAGTCGGGAAGAAACTGGCAGCGAGATCTTTTCATTTGGCCAACTTGCCTCTTTGTAAATTCACGTCTGTTGTTAATTACATTTGAATATACCTTTTCAGTGTCTATTACCTCTAGAATGTAAGCCCTATGAGCAAAGGGACCCTGTCTTTGATTCCCTAAAACCAAAAATGGTATCTGAAACAGTAGTATTGGTTGATGAATAAGTAAATAAAGAATATTCTCAGAGCTTAGAGCGTCGGCCTGCGGTCCAGAGAGACCCGGGTTCGGTTCCCGCTAAGGGCGCGTACCTCAGTTACAGTTTGTCCCCGGTCCTCGTTGGGTCGTGTGGGTGGCAACCACTTGAAGTGTCCCTTTCACATCGATGTTTCTCTCTCTCTCCCTTCCACTCTATCTGAACAAAAAATGAAAAAATGTCCTCGGGTGAGGGAAAAAAAAAAAAAGAATATTCACTTTTTATGCTTCCAGCAGCTATAAGTGAACCAAGAAATAAAAGCACCCTAACAGTTTAGTATCTTACCTAAAAATATCTCCCTTCTCACCCCCTGCCCCACCGCATGGCTACCTTCCTAATGCGCATGGTCCCTGTAGTCCATTCATTCACCCTTCACTTCATCACTGAGCAGTCCTTTCTTCCCGAGTACCTGTCCTGGGGCTGGAGATGACATTCCTATATTCAAAATGTCTTTAAAAATCCCTTGTAGGAGGCCTGTTTCCCCATCCCTGCACATGGACTTCCCAAGGGGCTAAAGCCAGAAGCCAGCTCTCTCTATGTTGGCCAACCTGTTTAGAGTGCCCTGAGATTACTCCTAACTCAGGAAAGCCTGTGAGATGACATTCCAAAGAGTACTCCTCCCATCATCTTTCCTTTAAATAATTACAGGTCTGTTCCTGCCGAGGTCCTGAAAGAAGTTCCCCATGGGGCAAAGGCCTTGGAGGTGATTCAAGCTCGGCTTTGGTCATGTGCACTCAGACTTTGAAAATCATCCTCTACCAGTGATTTCAGGCACTGAGAATGCTAGCAGGTAGAGCTCTGGAAAAAGTCCTGTGTTCCTTTCCTTCTTGGTTACCCCAGGACACTACGCCAATTAAAAGGCAAGTTGCCAAAGATGAGCCCTTTCAACAAAAGAGTCTCTTTCTACTTGAGTTTCACTCACTCACTTGCTCTGTCTTCCGGAAAACATTTTATTATATAAGAGGAAATTTCTCCAAGATCAAGGGGAAAGATTACGTTCATTTAATCATTTATTCATTCAGCAAATGTTTATGACATGTGTACCGTGAACCAGCAATTGTTCTAAAAGCTGAGGATGTGTCAGTGAGCAGAACAGAGAAGGTCTCCACTCTCACGGAGCTTATGCTTTAATGGAGAGGAGAGACCATAAATTGGCGGAAAGTAAGTGAGCAAGACAGTTTCCGATAGTAGTGAGTTCTAGGAAGACAAACATAATGTGATGGAGAGAATGGGCTCTCTTTGGGCCAGGGCACTTGTTGTGAACAGAGCTGGGTTGTGACCTCCAACCCAAGTTGGAGGTCAGAAAAGAACTCACCACTCACCAAGAAAGTGCTGTTTGAGCTCATACCTGAACAACCCCAAGAAGTCAGGCATACAAATATCTGGAGGTAGAGCTTCCTGGACAGAGGGAAGAGCAAGGGCTAAGGCGCTAAGATGGGAATAAGCTAGGTGTGTTTGAGGAATCAAAAGAAAGTCCAAGTGGCTGAGTGCAATGAACTAGGGGGGAGGGAAAGAAGTCAGAGATACAAATTATGTGATAAAAATAACCAACCTGCCATACTAAGGAAAACTTCA